CAAAAGTTTTCAACTTTGAGCCGGGCCGCCTGCTGCTGGACCAAGTGACCATCATCACCGGCGCCGGCAGCGGCATCGGCAAGGCGGTGAGCCTGCATGCCACGGGTACACGCCCCCTCGCCTCTGGGTACACCTCTCCCCTCTGCCCCGTGCCAAACGGGGTGCCGCCCCTGCACCCCACCCCACCTCTGCTGCAGGCGGCCATCCTGTTTGCGCAGCAGGGAGCCAAGGTGGTGGCCAGCGACCTGGATGGATCCAAGGCGCAGGCCACGGCAGACTTCATCCGCAACTCCTGCGGTACCTACATGAACAGAGCAAAAAAAGGGTAGTAGGGCGGATGGCAGCTGCCAAGGGAGAAAACACAAAGAAAACAAGTGTGCCTGGAGACCTTGTTTCCTTCGTTTACCAATGCAGCTCTTCTGCACTCACCCGGACACCCATGGCTACCAGGCCGCTGCGGTTGATGGAGGTAAACTGCTTCAGCGCTGTACGCTTTATCTGGCCCTTGCGCGTCAGCATCACGACATCCTGCTCCGCAGACCCCAGCGCTGCACCAAAGCCGGACACGGGCACCATGGCCGCGATGCGGGTGCTCTTGTCAAATGGTAGCACCTGCAGGCAGGCAAAAGGACCCATACACGGGTGCTTCATACAAATCTAAGGAGCAATCCTGTCTCAGCCCAAGATAGCAGCAACGATTGCCCCAGGCGTCACACTGCTAACCTGCGTCACAGCGGAACCAACAGCGGTACGGGTGCCCTCAGGCACGTCATATGCCCGCAGCGAGTAGGCGCGGCCTTCGGTGGTGAAAAATAGAAGATGATCGTGGTCGTTTACATACACAACCTCATCTAGGCTGTCATCTTCCTTGAGCCGTGCGCCCGCCTTGCCTGCGCATCATGTGCAGGGGCTTCAGGTTAGTACAGGAAGCGACCATTGTTCTGCGTGACCTTCATGAACACCACAAGTCCATGTTAGAGCTTCCAAACTACAGCAGCGGCAACGCACCCACGCCCCCCCCGCTTCTGCGCTCCAAAGGTGTCTGGGCGCACGCGCTTTGATGTAGCCGCGCCGGCTGTAGACCACTAGACTGGGGAGCATTGGGGATCACATCCTCATGGCG